TAAAGAGGAAGGAAAAGAAGAAGTATCTTGAATGTGTTGGATTGGTCCCATCTCTCTTTTTCCTAAAAAAAAATCTCAAGTGATCAGTCTATATCCTGATTCATCACTCCAAGCACAGCTTGCCAGTTTCAAAACTTTGGAAGTGGAACAGGTAAAACAAGTGCCCCAAACTTTAATACTTCAGCAATATGGGCACTAGCATCAGTCACGAGCATTACCTCATATAAGTCTAATAGACATTCCTATCACCATTTTGTCATTCCATATACTTAGTTGGTGTTTAGTAGACATACACCAATTAATTTGCTACTCTCAGGACAGTGTACTCATGAGAGAAATGGTGGTAAATATTCGTTGTATAAATCACTGCTGTCTAATAACAGAAGTAGGAATCTCAGCAATCTTATGCTGGAGAACTGTGGTTGCTATAGTAACTTTTCTTTCCCTTATGTCTAGACTGGCTTCCCCATTTTTTTTTTTTAAACATGTTGGCCAGACATGGTGAATGAAAATGTGTGGGGTTCTTTAGAAGAACTAGACATTTAGCACCAAGTCAAATATTTAAACACTTGCACTAGCAAAAAAAGAAACCTCTTCAATTGCAAACTTTTCCATAATTGAGCTCAAGAAAAATGTCCAGTGTCTCAGAACTTACTGCTGTATTTTGTTGTTCCATGATTTTTTTCTCTTGACTAAAAAGTTTTACAACAGAATAGTTAGACATAGTCATTTAGCTTTCCTTGTCTATCTTGCCCTCATTAAGAGAGTAACTTATTACAACACAAGGAATTAAATAGAAAAACAGAAGAGTTCTCAGATACAAGGGTGGCTTTTTTGACACTTGCATGACAGACTTAAACTCTATGTGTGGATTGAATACCACATACTGGCTGCAGAGAGGCAAATTTGTAAAAGATGAGCAGCTTTCCTTTTGTATTGCCGATGCCCTGATTAATCAGATTCTCTGCATGTGAAGCAAAATACGGTCAATCCAACTCAAATGTTCTCAGCCAGACTGTTGAGAACTGATGCTAGAGCGGACAAGATAGCCTAAGGAACCAGTACTGTTCAAGTGAAACCCTGGTCAACGATAATAGTCGCTAGCATCTGATTGCTATTTGATGGCTTATGTGAAAATAGTTTGATCTCTTCCAGCTCCTAATAGATTGGTGTCCATGTCTCAAAAAGTCACCATCATAAGGGGCACTAGCTTGGATAAATGTGTTAAATTTTTGTAATATTTTGGAAAGAAATCTCACTCGCCATCTATAGAATACATACAGTTCTTATTAGTCTTTACTGATTTAATAAAAAGTGACACCGAAACTGTGAAAACATGTAAGTTAAAGTCCCCTCTCTTGAAATGAATAAATAATTAAAATCCAACCATTATTGTTTGCAATCTAACCTGATTATTGCCCCCGTCCCACAACAGAATCTTATTAATAACCAGGCTTTTGGAGAAAGGGGAATGCAATAAGGGCTAGTATTTGTGGGTAGGTGGGTAATCTTTGACTCTGACAGTTTTCTGGCTGGTAGTGTTTCCCACTTTCAGAGCACAGAAGGAGAGCCGCTACTCAGTCCTCTTGTACCACACAAGCCTCACTCTCACAGGATCAGTTGGGCTGGTGCAGAGTTTCCCTTCATAGGAGATAATACAGAGCTCTCTGGAATTGGCCCTGTATCTTTGATGGAATTTATTTGTCTTTCAGCACTACAGTGCAGTTTTAGAAATAATCTAATTTAAGTATGATGCTGTAAAATTGTTTTGTTATAATGTTCTTAGATGTAATCTTCAATACACTTTAAAAAACAATCTGCAAACGTTTGCCGTGTGACCTATGCCCGGCATGTAATGCGTGGTATGGCTCAGAACAAATGTCAGATGAATGTTATTAAATAAATTTAATTTAATTACAGATTGGTTTTGTACTTTATCCTCCAAATGGCAGACTGGAATGGAACCAAATGGATCACAATAATATGATGTTCTTGACAATGTGCTATTGCTGGCATTATGCCTTTGCTTTTCTTATACTTGCAATGAATTACACTATTGTCAGCTGGTAAGTTAACTACAGAACTAAAACTTTGGAGAACCATGTGTCAGTTGCACCATAAGTGTAGGACTTTAGGCTCATGGGATAAAGACCCCCCCTTTCCTCCCAAGATAAAATAAAGATAGGCTTGCTCATTCATGGCCATTATATCACTGATCATTCCAGTGAAAGGGAAAATAAGTACTTTGTGAACAGAATGGTATTTCACCATTGTTAACTGGCATCTCATGTACATTGAGCTATTTTTGACATTGTTTAGAATTGCATTACAAAAATCAGAGCTGGAAAATACCTTCTAGATCAGTGGTTCTTAACCTTTCAAGACTACTGTACCCCTTTCAGGAGTCTGATTTGTTTTTGGTACCGCAAGTTTCACCTCCACTTAAAAACTACTTGCTTACAAAAGTATAAAAATACAAATGTGTCACAGCACACTATTGCTGAAAAACTGCCTACTTTCTCATTCTGTCTGTATGAAATTTTGATTTGTATTGACTTTGCTTGTGCTTTTTATGTAGCCTGTTGTAAAACTAGGCAAATATCTAGATGAGTTGATGTACCCCCTGGAAGACCTCTGCAAACCCCCAGGGGTATTCTACCTCTGGTTGAGAATCACGTTCTAGATCGCTAAGAATCAAGATGGGACAGTCCCTACAGCATGGTGACAGATAGTGCTTGTCTATGCCAGTTTTAAATGGCTCAAGACAAGTGGCTATTGCCACTTCATTTGGAGACTGTTGCACAGACCAAACAAATTTCATTGTTAATATTTTCCCATGACTAAATTTTCTTTTGGACAGTTTTATCCCATTATTCCTAACTATAGCCATGTGCCTGGTCTCACAGTGTTTAATCTGAGAAAACCCACACTGAAGTCCTTATTTTCTGTGAAATGGTATATTGGAGGAATCAGGTTTGATCACTGTGACAGCAATGTCTAGCCCATCTACCTGTTGTATCATCTTCCTTGGTGTTTATACCCTTTTCCATTCTTGTAGGCAGTTATATCCCTGCTCGGTCATTCTTTGGCCATATTTAGTTCTTCCAGTTTTTCCTCATAAATCAGTCATTCTGGCTCCTTGATAATAAAAATGATTAACTTTGTGTCCCATGTAACAATAACCAGATCAGCATTTGATTCATTGTTTAGTTTAGAATGTAAAATTATGTGGCAAACCTCTTCTTTTCTTTCCCCCCACTGTCTCCAGGGTGGTTCGTTCAAAGATTAAACAGGCACAGTCCGTGGAGATGGGATTACTGAAAACATCCGAACGAGATCAGGAATCAGAAGACGAAATCTAGTTTTGTATAAATTCTGTTTTACCACTTTGCCTTCTTCACCATTAAGATAATTTTTACCTCATTTCTAGATTAGTTTACCATCTTGTTTGTTCTTCATATAACTCGCTATGCAAGTATCATCCATAAAGTACTGTATACTGCTACATAATTAGATTTTCATTTGCAGAGTGTAGGCCTTATATTAATGTGGTGTTTCCATTAGTACATTGTTCATCACATGCTTTAGTGGAAAAATATTTTCCTATTAGATGAACTTAGCTTGGATGGGGTGACATTGTCAAGTAAAAATCAATTCAGCCCATTAATAGCTGAGCAACATGTTCTCCTCCTGCTGTTGGAGAAACTGGTAAATTTCCATATCTAAATATGTCAAAAAAGCTGAATTTGCTGAATTGCCAGGCATGTACATAAAATAATTTACAGAACTTTAAAACAATGGAATAAGCACATTATTGATGGAGACCTACATCTGCATTGTCAAGAATATCTTTGCTTGTTGTTTCAAATGAAATAGCAAAAAACTGCAAATTGCAAACCCATGTAGCATTTATCTGCACAGTCTATCCTTTGTTCGTTACCACATGTGCTCTACCAAACTTCTGCAAGGAGATCAAGTAAATGTAGAAATGACCATTGGGATTGCCCATCATGAGGGGAAGTTACTCATTGCAGTGACTTGACACTCCTATCACCCTTCGCTTTGACAAGCAGTACATTGACCCTACTTTACAGCCAGGGGTATTGGAACAATTTTTATAGTGGGGGTGCTGAAAGCCTTTGAACAAAACTGTAAACCCTGTATATGATGGAAACCATGTATGTGGTTGTTACTACTACTTCAAGCCAGGGGGTGCTGCTGCACCCCCAGCACCCTTAGTTCCACACCCCTGTTTACAGCAAGTATAGCAACTTTCTATAGAAAGGCTGTTGTGTGTCAAACAGGGCAACATCAGGCATCCAAGTTAATTCTGTACGCTAAATTCAGCTCCTTTCCCATACTGCAGTCTAGTGGGATTTCAGTAAGGCGCTGGGGCAGTCACATAACTGGATGCAGTGCACAAATCCAAATGCTGTGCTCAGCAATGGCAGCATATGTACTTGGACCCAGTCTGCAGCTGAGGGACCTGCTCTGTTCTCTCTGCACTCTCGGGGAGGATGTTGATCATTGTAGAATAGAGTGCTGTATGGACATGTGCACACAGTCATCATTTCAAAATCAACTCCGCAGGCGTCTTTGTGCATTTCTGAATGTATAGTAATTTGTACTGTACAAATGATTCTGTGAGGTGCCAGGTTTCAACTCCTGCTGCCGTAAGGATACATTCCAATATGAATTGTAGGATTAGGGAATGAATAATACATGGCAAAGAACATTAGTGAGCCTTATTGCATGGAAGCATACTGCCCCCAGGAGGTTCAATACTTGAAGTACATCTGTAACACAACTCATTCTTTAAAAAGCCTATAGTAGTAATAGGGCATGACTGGACATCTGCCATTCAGCAACAATTACTCCTGGGAGAATTCGGCACCAAAAAATTAAAAATTCTGTTCACAATATTTTAAAATTCTGCATATTTTATTTGTCAAAATAATGCAATATAATCACTCTGGTTCCAATTATTTTGGTAATTTATTTAAACTACAATATAATGGATAGAGAATGGGAGTGGGGAGCAAATCCCCTTGCCTAATAGTAATGTAGCTAGGTGTGACCCTTTATTTCAAGTCAACAAATATATGCAGCCATATGCTCAGTGTTACAACATAGGCAAGTGAGGGCAGGGGAATCAAACTCACAATTTATGTTGGCTACTGCCCATCTCTGAAAGGACAGTAGCCAATAGTTCATAGAGCACATTGTGATAGGAAATTTTTTCAGTACAAACATTTAGACCAGTTCTAATCACTAAAGCACCATCAGCATTTATAAGGCCATACTGTCTTTTACCCTGGGCACTCTGGCAATGTAAAGAAGCCTCAAAACTTTTACACCTGTTTTATACTCCTGGGGAAATTCACAAAGACAATGGGAACACTAAGCAGGCAGGCTCCAACATTCTGCTCTGCCTGAGGGGACAGAGCCTGTCCCATGCCTTCCTCCTCAGAAACATCCCGTAGCCCTGCCCCTCCATGCTGATTGTGCTGCAATAGCGAGTGAGAGGGACAGAGTGTCCCTCTCTCTCTCTCACATGCATCCCCCTCCCGGCAGTGATTTACATCTCTACCGGCTCCTCTGAGCGCTCAAACTGACCTGCCTGCACTGCTGGGGAGGGGCACATAACTGGTCTTCTGGCTTCCCTTTGCTTCCCTGCCAGAAGCCATTTTTCTGTGGAGAAGCAAAGAAATCTGCAGGGGACATGAATTCTGTGCACGCACAGTGACGCAAAATTCCCCCAGGAGTAAACAATTCCTGGTATTGTAGGTTCCACTGCCAGAGAAGTGAGTACAATAGGAATTCTGAAGGCAATGGAACACAGCAGCCGTCAACTGTAGGGCAGTTACTCTGCAAAAGGAGCCTCTTGCTTTCAGAATACATCCTTTTAAAATATTAATATTTATATATTATACTCATTGCATTTAAAAACAGGACGTTGCACAGTAATGTAATGTAAAAATTCCAGCCCACTGGGACTGAAACTAGAGACATACTTTTTTTTCTCTTAGTGCTCTCATGTTTTCATCATACACTCCAAGGCAAGATCCAGGTTCTGCAGTCCTTATGTAAGCAGTCACATTCACTGATGGAGGTGAGTAAGAGCAACAGGATCTGGATCTAAATTTGTGTGCTTCATCTGAATTTATCCTTGTCCTTTCGATATAAAGCAGAAAAAAGTATAGCTTAAATAAAGCTAATTGCAGTAAGACTACCACTCTAAAAATATAAAACTATTATTTAAAGTAGTTTATAGCTGTAAGGAAAACCAAGGATAAGGAGAAAAGCTCAAGACCCTTTACTTATAGCTACTTTACCTTTAAATGCACACAAATACATTATAGGCTACATTTTTCAGGGAATCTTCCCTTCAGTTGTCAGTTCTTTAAAGGTTGGAGCTGGTCACTTTAGAATTTCTGGCTTTTCAGAGCTTTTCTAATATAAGCTACATTTTAAAATCTTTAACTCTGGACTAAATTTTAAAATGGTGCACATGTTAAATTGACTATAAAGCACTTTGCTCAGGTACAGCACAGGCAGCAGCAATGCAAGCTTTCTCATTGCCCTGCCAATAACAACACTTAGTACTGTAAAACTATTAATGTGCCTCAAGCCCTGACCTGAAGGGACCATGTAAGCAGGAGAAGAGAGCAGTAACTCTCTGAGCACTGGAAATGTTAAAGGATGCAGTTTGCTTGGAGTATTTTTTTTTTCAATATAAAGATTTTAGATGGTCACTTTGAATTACTTCTGGTCCCCACCAAGTATCTTGCTACTTGTCACTAGATCTGAGAATAATTATTGATTAGTAATAAATATGAACCTGAATCAAAACCTTAGAACAGAACACTCTCAAACTTTCCATCTAAGTTCTTATACTACCCATCACTGTGAGATGGGAAAGTTTAGCTCAAGATCCAAACTTCACAGTTGGTATCCATTACTAAATAACCGTTTGTTCTTCTGTAGTGCCTTTCATTGGAGGCTTTTGCAACTCTTTGAAAACCTTAATGAAGTCTGCTTCACAATACTGCTGTGAGTGAGGTATCATTCCTCCTATTTTATATATGGACATTTCCATATCAGCAGGACTTAGTCGTACTGCAGTCTGTGACATTACCTTCTCAGTGCAGCTGAAACTCAGAAGGAAGTGATACCTACCCCATTCTGCAAATCTAGGATTTTTGTGGCACTTGAAGGGCCACATTGTCCCATTAATTACACTAGTGGAGCCTCATGAAAATAATTTTTTTCTGCAGACATAAATGAAGGCAGCTCCATTGAGTTCAAAGGAGTTTTGTCTGTTTACAGCAACAGAAGATTTGGCTCAGTGTGGTTGCCACTGAACCGGAGACAATGACCATAATCAAAAAAGATGCCCATAGGGCAGCCTGGGGTTGAACTCAAGGTGCTAAACAGAGTTAAAAGCAGTATTGCTGTGTCTTAATTGCTATTCTAACTGGACTTATCCAATGTGGATTATCTAACCAAAAGAAGAATATACTTTTTTTACAGGGGGGGGAGAAAGGGGGAGGAGTGTAGACATACCTTAAAAGTGCTCCTCCTTTCCCTGTCTCAGTCTTAAAATTCTAACACTGAACTCTTGGAATTACCAGAGTTCATGTAATTAAACCCTGGAATAATTCCATCAGTGGTGATAGTGCCATAGGTTGTTGTGAGGGAAAAATCAGATATGATTCACAATCTGCTAAGAGGGGACATGTACAGCTCCCTGTGCTAGATTTAGTGAGTGACCCATACAGTTGTCTGAGAATTGGATGACCAAGTTTGCTGGATACATTTTGTCTGTTTTGGACAGATACAAATCTCTAGAAATGACACTTCCAGAATTCCAATTGAGAAGTTAGAAGTCAACACTTTTTGTGACTAATCCTATCATTTCTTTTATGCACAAAATACCTTCTTTTACTAAAGATGGCATTACAAAGAGGCAAAATAAAAAAGGGTTTTAAAGTATTCAGGATGTTCAATAATTTTCCCTCCAAGTTTTTCCTCCCCTATTTCATGCTGTCTTTACCAAATCTATCTTGTAGGCAAGCTTCTTACTCTACTGTAAAGATGGAACTGAATCTATACCCTACCTCTCAAAAATACAAGCATTGGCATATGTTGGAATCTGAATCTTAATATCAAGGCTGACCTGAACTCTGTAATGGACCAAACCAAAACCCCAGAGCTGAATACACCCGCATCCCAAGCCTTAAAATGTTCAAAATCCAGATCTGAATCTTTCAGCTCAGGCCCATCTCTACTCTAAAGCTAGTAACTTACTAGCTGCTTATGGTTCATTGTGAGTAATTTTTAACGCATAGGGCTTGATCCTACTAAGTGGTGAGAGTCCTCAACATCCACTGACTTAAGGTGAGAATGATAACTATTATTTCAGTGATGCTTCTGTCTCCTTATCCCACAAATACTACAGTATAATGGCTACTTTCGAATGATAAGAAAAATAAGAGACTAACTTCAATACATGCACAACTATTTGATGCCATGATATAAATGTCTCAAATTTGGAGAAACATGAATTGGAAAAAACAGATGCTAAAGCCTCAAATTTTAAGACTTCTTGAATTTCTGTACAAATGTCTGGTATTAAAATCAAATACAAGTAAAAGCAAAGGGAAAATTGTAATATATTTACAGAATCTGTAATATAAAAAGATGCAGTCATTTTCTCAAACTGTGTAGTATTGTTGTAATAGCATCATGAAAGAAATCAAGCAGTATATTTTTAGGAGGAATCTTTTATTTGTTTTTAAGCAGAACGATTCATTGGGTGTCTTCAAATGCTGTTTCTGATTGGTTATGTTTTGAACACTACTCTCTGTTAATACTAAAGAAATATGACCTTTGGCATTCCTTTATCAATAGTTTCTCTTTGAATTCAGAGAAGGGATGGAAGTGTGCCAGGTTTACAAACATACCAGTTAAAAAAGATAGTGCTTTAATGAAACCTTAAGTTATTATTAAATATTTGTGCCTTTAAAAAAACCACAATCGTTAATAACAAACAAGATGTGCCTGTAATTTTATTTAAATAAAACTGATTTATGCATTGCTGAAGTCTGTCATCTCTTCAGTGGAAAGGCTTGATTGCGTAGGGATGTGTGTAAGTGTGTGTTTTTACAAGTCTGATGCCCTCAGAGGACAGAGTTGACTGAGTGGCAACTTCCTGAATGCCAGTTTTGCCTTGATGTCCAGGTCACTTTCCTTGCCATTCACAGGGATGAAAGAAGGCATTTTGGAGGCAGTGCCACTGGGTCTGTACAAAGCACAAATCCACAAGAGCTGAATACCATGTTAGAGGGGAATGGCAGGCTATGTGTTCTCCTTTCCTGCTCATACCATGCTGCCAGCCAGCAAGGCCACACAGCTGAAGGTCTTTCATCACGTGTTGGAACTGAGGATTCCTTTGCTACTGTGCTTCCAAGTACACACTTGGGCATTTCTCCTGTTATCAGTGTCAAATACTTAGAATCATAGAACTGGAAGGACCTCGAGAGGTCATCTAGTTCAGTTCCCTGCACTTGTGGCAGGACTAAGTATTACCTCTACCATCCCTGACAGGTGTTTGTTTAACCTGCTCTTAAAAATCTCCAATGATGGAGACTCCACAACCTCCCTAGGCAATTTATTCCAGTGCTTAACCACCCTGACAGGAAGTTTTTTCTAATGTCCAACCTAAACCTCCCTTGCTGCAATTTAAGCCCATTGCCTCTTGTCCTATCCTCAGGGGTTAAGAAAAATCATTTTTTCCCTCCTCCTTGTAACAACCTTTTATGTACTTGAAAACTATTATCATGTCCCGTCTCAGTCTTCTCTATCCCAGATTAAACAAACCCATTTTTTTCAATGTTCCCTCATAGGTCATGTTTTCTAGACCTTTAATCATTTTTGTTGTCCTTCTTTGGACTCTCTCCAATTTGTCCACATCCTTCCTGAAATGTGGCACCCAGAACTGGACACAATACTCCAGATGAGGCCTAATCAGTATGGAGTAGAGTGGAAGAATTACTTCTCGTGTTTTGCTTACAACACTCCTGCTAATACATCCCAGAATGATGTTTGCTTTTTTTGCAATAGTGTTACACTTTTGACTCATATTTAGCTTGTGGTCCACTATGACCCCCAGATCCCTTTCTGCAGTACTCCTTCCTAGGCAGTCATTACCCATTTCCCATGTGTGCAACTGATTGTTCCTTCCTAAGTGGAGTACTTTGCATTTGTCATTGTTGAATTTCATCCTATTTACTTCAGACCGTTTCTCCAGTTTGTCCAGATCATTTTGAATAATAATCCTATCCTCCAAAGCACTTGCAACCCCTCCCAGCTTGGTATCGTCCGCAAACTTTACAAGTGGATTCTGTATGCCATTATCTAAATCATTGATTAAGATATGGAACAGAACCGGACCCAGAACTGATCCCTGCAGGACCCCACTCATTATGTCCTTCCAGCATGACTGTGAACCACTGATAACTACTCTCTGGGAACAGTGTTCCAACCAGTTTTGCACCCACCTTATAGTAGCTCCATCTAGGTTGCATTTCCCTAGTTTGTTTATAAGAAGGTCATGCGAGACAGTATCAAAAGCTGTAGTAAAGTCAAGATATACCACATCTACTACTTCCCCCCTATCCACAAGGCTTGTTACCTTGTCAAAAAAAGTTATCAGGTTGGTTTGACACAATTTGTTTTTGACAAATCCATGCAGATTGTGACTTATCACCTTAATATCGTCTAGATGTTTGCAAATTGATTGATTAATTATTTGCTCCATTATCTTTCTGGGTACAGAAGTTAAGCCGACTGGTCTGCAATTCCCTGTAATGTCCTTATTTCCCTTTTTATAGATGGGCACTATATTTGCCCTTTTCCAGTCTTCTGGAATCTCTCCCGTCTTCCATAACTTTTCAAAAATATATTGTTTTGTAACTGGAAAGGATGTATATTCCTGTTTGTGTTAATATAGCCACAGGAACTCTGTTTTAGGATCTCATAAGAACATAAGAAAGGCCATACCGGGTCAGACCAAAGGTCCATCTAGCCCAGTATCCTGTCTACCGACAGTGGCCAATGCCAGGTGCCCCAGAGGGAGTGAACCTAACAGGCAATGATCAAGTGATCTCTCTCCTGCCATCCATCTCCACCTTCTGACAGACAGAGGCTAGGGACACAATTCCTTTTCCGTCCTGGCTAATAGCCATTAATGGACTTAACCACCATGAATTTATCCAGTTCTCTTTTAAACTC